TCTCATGATCTGACACAATACATCACTTGTATGCTCACAAGAAATGTCTTGTCTCACACGAATAATGTCTTGATCTCACACGAATAATGTCTTGATCCCACACGAATAATGCCTTGATCCCACACGATTAATGTCTTGATCACACACGAATAATGTCTTGATCTCACATGAATAATGTCTTGATCTCACACAAATAATGTCTTGATCCCACACGAATAATGTCTTGATCTCACACAAGAAATCATTGATCTCACATAAGATATCAAGTAATATATCCCCTGACACAACTGTTTTTCTCTGTTGATTCTAGGAGCGACGTCACCGCATGGATGGAGAACGGCATGCCCAAGATGAGATCGAGAGGCTGAAGCTTGAGGTCGAGGCTCTCAAGAGACAACAGAAGCCAGTATGTATTTGAGGTCATACATCGTAGAAACCTCTACACACTTTTGTTGTAAAACTGTTAAATTTGATTGAAATGGTAAAGTTATTATTTATCAAGTTGTTTGTAGATTATTTTTTACAAAAGTGTGTGTTTGTGCTGTTCTTCCTACTGTTGTGCCCCCCTCCATTCAAGATATCAAGATACTGTTGGGTACAGGGTATTCATTGCCATGTACACTATTGACATTTAAGTAGAGTATTCCTGATTTTGAGTTATTTAGAATGTAGTGTAGTGGACTGTAGTGTTATCTACATCAAAAGTCTCTACTATCAAGGGTATATTTGTGTTCTGTCGCGGTTTTCTTTTGCAAAGATCCAAATTTCAAAATCAAGGTGAAATAGAAAACTGAAACGAAGCTGAATGGTTTAAAAAGCCTGACATCTAAGTCCATGTGTATTCAATCTGATTGGGTGGTCAACGTTTGCTATGTGTGCTTTGTCAGATCTAGATGTAGAGAGGAATCATATCATACTAAAAGATTGGATCTGAATGAGATTGGATTCTACCCATCTTGCATCTTGCAGTGGAGGTAACTAGAATGAGGTTTGCAGAATATGAAGCTGAAACAGTTCTGATAAATTAAGGCTGATCCAATGTTGTTTTCAGAAATCTCCTGCACCCTCCATGTACAGCATTGGTTCATACATGAGGTGAGTTGTTTGGAAAATACCCTGTTACTAAAAGTAATTAATAAAATGTCCGAGTTGAAATGCAGCATGTCACATCCATTAAAGGGCAAGTTCACACGGAAATGAACCTATTTTTCTTGTACTTTTTCCGCATTAAAAGTGTTAACATAGAAGTGTCATAGACAAAAATATAAAAATATCACAATTAATTAACATATTTTTCGCATTAAAACGATTTATAATTTTCACATTTACCAAGTGTTCTATTTCCACAACAAAAACACCATGGCTTATGCCCCTTGCAATATGACGTCATTGGTGCCAATTGATAAACATTATGACGTCATCCTGCTTTGTTAGAGCCGCTTCACGTGGTGTAGGTCCAGGTGTGTGATTCTAGCGTCTCAGATGCCAGCCAGCATAGTGTTATGCTGAGTCACCACTGCGCCGGAGTGTGTCGTAGGCCATGTTGTTTCACCGCAAACTGGTACTTGATATCTTTTGCGTTGAGAATAGACAGGGACCCAGTTGAATTGGCACCAATTACGTCATAATCTAAGGGGGATAACTCAGGCCTGTTTAGCTCGAAAAACGAAGGCCTCATAACGGCATATCATTTTCACACTATTGTGAGCTTCCTACGTTCACTGTGAAAAAAATGAGTGTATATTTTCAAACACAGATACTAATTAATTCTAAAATTGCGTTTTGTTTAGAAAAAGAAAGAAAGTGATTTTTGCGTGTACACTTCCCCTTTAAATCAAGGCATACATTGAAACAAATATTTTTCAATTACAGAACTTGTTCATACATGATGTTAGTTGTTAAAAATCAAGGAATACATTTGAAACAAATCTGTTGCAATATACAGCCTTGGTTCATCAATGAGGTGAGTTATTAGGAAAATACTCTGTTACTAAAAGTAATTATCAAAATGTCAGAGTTGAAATGCAGCTTGTCACAGCCATTAAACTCAAGGAATACATTGAAACAATACTGTTGCAATATACAGCACTCATACATGAGGTGAGTTTTTAGGAAAATACTCTGTTACTATAAGCAATCAAGGAATACATTGAAACAAATCTTTTTCAGCCGAGTCCTTCTACCTCCCCCACCGACTCCTGCCTCCCACGTGTCTTCCCTCCCCGTCATACAGGAGGTGTCCCCCCGCACCCCGTCCCGCCAGTTGACCCCCGCAGGGCAGGGGGAGAAGGCGGTGATGGACTTCCTCACCAGGGTCAAGCAGAGCATGGACAGGAGTGAGTGACAGCTTGGACATATCAGAAGCAGAACTAGGAATGTTTTCAGTGGTTGGGAGTAACATTTTGATTTCATAACAGGGGGATAGGGAGTGGTGGGGTAGCCTAGTGGTCACACTGGAGGCCAGGGTTTGATTCCTGACAAAGGTAAGTTATGTGAAGCCCATTTCTGGTGTCCCCTGCTGTGATCTTAGTATGATTGCTGATTGGTAGTATTTCTGAACAGCAAATAGTTAATAAAGTAAATTGGCACGGCTCCCATGGCCGAAAGCTATGAACACACAATGCCATTTTAGAAAGTGGTCAAATGTTACAAATGTTATACATGTATTTGGGATAACACTTTCTGAGTAAAGTACAGATTCTCATACTTTTTTGGGTTGAGTCCCGTCCAGGATTAGAACCCACTTGTCAGAGTGAGGCTGAGTGGGTTAGATTGCTGACTTTGTGTGCTGGTGATTAGGTGCCTCACTCTGGCAGTGTGGGCTCATATAAGACATTTGTTACATTTGACCACTTTCTAAAATGGCATTGTGTGTTCATAGCATCGGCCATGGGAGCTGTGCCAATTTACTTTATTTCCTTTATTTCCTTTATTAACTATTTGCTGTTCAGAAATACATGTACTACCAATTGCCCTGAGAGAAAAGGCAATGATTTTCTTCGCTGTGTTACAAATTTTGAACAGTTTGTTTTTGTTGTGAAACAGACAGGTTTCCGAACCAGCTGGTGAAGTAAAAAGTCAGAATACATGTACTTAAAATAAATGTTTCATAAAACATTGACATGATGGTAGAGTCAATTTGAAAAAAATGTTTTAAAGGCGCTGCACATGCTGCTAAATATAGCCCCTCGCAGTCACCTGACTGTTGATCCCAAGTCAGACTGTAACCACGCGATCAAAACTCAGTATGTACTCCATCTTCCCGAGGCAAGGGAATTAACTGACTTTAAAAGTCCAGTTTCCACCCTTGCCGAACAAGGCCGGAATACCTGGGCTCAATCCTAGCGCCACCAGTGGCTATTACGAGTTATGTCCCTTTTATGCCTCTCCTATGGACCAATCAGATTCCACCTCTCGTATCACTTGCATTTGCTTCAAACAATATGGCGGCCCCCAGTCAAGACAATCTGATCGATAATCATGATCTACATTGTGATAAAACGGGCCTTACATCGCGAAATGCATCAAATCATGTGAGCACCTTGATTAAAATCATGAAAAGATTTGGAAAATATGTTGACGAGATGACGGTGCACATTCTTTGCAAATCCTGCAATCGACCGAAATCTGCACGACAGTTTACGAACCTGATTTCGATTCCGTTGCGCGATTTTGATTGGACTATGCATAGGCATAGTCTCATTAGTCCAGCCTAAACGTAACTCCATAATACCAGCCTAGTTCGGCAAGGGTGGAAACTGGACTTTTATAGTCAGTCAACTCTCCTGCCACGGAAAGATTTATGTACTCCTATGCCGAGTGTTCCTGCTATATGCTGTATATCCTGTGTGGTTCCAGTTGCCCATGGCGAGGGAGATGAGAGTCAGGAGCTGGATGAGGAGACCGAGGGCTACATCAGACAGAATGTGGATGACCTCAAGAGAGCTCAGGTAAATGTGAAGGATAAGAGCAAATACTTATTATTTATCTCAGGAAATATTTCTTTGAACAGCAAGTTTTGCAAAACAACAATAGTAGACAGAAGTGTCAGATATTTCTGAACTCTTGTCCTGATATACTGTCCTTCTATCTGTCAATGGAGGACACTTCTTGCATGGACACCAGACAAAGCTGGGTAAGCAGTACGAGGGGCGTTCAATAAGTTTTGCAACTTCAATATCATACCAAGTCGCAGAATATCTTTTGCACTTGTATTTTTCAATATAATCTCCATTCACCTCAATACACTTATTCCATTTGTCCTTCAAGCTTTTAATACCGCTTTTATAGAAATCGGTAGATTGACCCTCTAACCACGCCTCTGTGGCAGCCTTTATGTCCTCGTCATCCTGGAAGCGTCTTCCACGTAGGGCAGATTTCATTTGCCGGAACAGGAAATAGTCACTGGGGGCTAAGTCTGGGCTGTACAGTTAAATCACCCACCCTACAGCCCAGACTTAGCCCCCAGTGACTATTTCCTGTTCCGGCAAATGAAATCTGCCCTACGTGGAAGACGCTTCCAGGATGACGTGGTCAGAGGGCCAATCTGCAGATTTCTATAAATGTGGTATTAAAAGCTTAAAGGACAAATGGAATAAGTGTATTGAGGTGAATGGAGATTATATTGAAAAATAAGATAATTCTGCGTCTTGGTCTTATATTGAAGTTGCAAAACTTATTGAATGCCCCTTGTACATCGAAGGACTTGCTCGGTATGCCTGCATGTTTCGAAGTACTAACTAATGTCCACATTATTTGTATCTCTTTACTTTGATAGATGGAGGTGTTTGGTCATCGTCTCAATGTTGGGGAGTTTGAGTACATGACTCCACAGAAACAGCAGGAGTCCAGCGACAAGATGATGAAGCTGATACAGAGATGGAGGGAGGACAGACGGGCGCGGGAGCTGGGGGTGCCTCGGTAGTGGGGACAGATGGGCCTGGGAGTTGGTGGTGTCTCGGTGTGGGGGTGGAGGGCAGGGGCCTGGAGCTGGGGGTGCCTCAGTAGTGGGGACAGATGGGCCTGGGAGTTGGTGGTGTCTTGGTGTGGGGGCGGAGGGCGGGGGCCTGGAGTTCGGGGTGCCTCGGTAGTGGGGACAGATGGGCCTGGGAGTTGGTGGTGTCTTGGTGTGGGGGCGGAGGGCGGGGGCCTGGAGTTCGGGGTGCCTCGGTAGTGGGGACAGATGGGCCTGGAGCTGGGGGGGTCTCGGTGTGGGGACAGATGGGCCTGGGAGTTGGTGGTGTCTCGGTGTGGGGGCGGAGGGTGGGGGCCTGGAGCTGGGGTGCCTTTGAAGTGGGGACAGATGGGCGCGGGAGTTGGTGGTGTCTCGGTGTGGGGGCGGAGGGCAGGGGCCTGGAGCTGGGGTGCCTTTGTATTGGGGACAGATTGGCCTGGGAGTTAGTGGTGTCTCGGTGTGGGGGTGGGGGGCCTGGAGCTGGGGTGCCTCGGTAGTGGGGACAGATGGGCCTGGGAGTTGGTGGTGTCTCGGTGTGGGGGCGGAGGGCAGGGGCCTGGAGCTGGGGTGCCTCAGTAGTGGGGACAGATGGGCGCGGGAGTTGGTGGTGTCTCGGTGTGGGGGTGGGGGGCCTGGAGCTGGGGTGCCTCGGTGTGGGGGCGGAGGGCAGGGGCCTGGAGCTGGGGTGCCTCAGTAGTGGGGACAGATGGGCCTGGGAGTTGGTGGTGTGGGGGTGGAGGGCAGGGGCCTGGAGCTGGGGTGCCTCAGTAGTGGGGACAGATTGGCCTGGGAGTCGGTGGTGTCTTGGTGTTGGGGTGGAGGGTGGGGGCCTGGAGCTTGGGTGCCACGGTCCGTGGGGACAGATGGGCCTTGCAGTTGGTGGTGTCTCGGTGTGGGGGCAGAGGGCGGGGGCCTGGAGCTGGGGTGCCTCTGTCAGGGGGCACAAGGGGCATGGGAGCTGGGGTGCCTCAATTTGGGGGGGCAGGGGTCCTGAAGCTATGAAGCACTCAATTATTGACTGGTAAACTGGAAAGTTGATGTAGTGCTATTCCCTGTGCATGACATGTTCATTTCAATATTTTTCTGTACAAAAACAGGGTGAGTCTGTCTTTATGTGTGTATTTGCAAAAATGATTACTGTATTTGACGTTATAAACGCCCCGCAATAATAAGCTCCTGATATTTGCTAATATATTGGCTAGTGAACAATCCCAATTAGCTCCCCTTCCGATTGATCAATGTGCACAAGACTTATTTATTTGCATACAATATGCACTCGTGTGTTATATGCACCCTTAATTATGGGCATTTATTTGCATACAATATGCACTCGTGTGTTATATGCACCCTTAATTATGGGCAATTAAATTCTGGAAAAATATATCTGTCGTACATTAACATTTCAGACTGTCAGCATAAACCACGAAATTTATCTTTCACCACTTTTTTCACCTAAATAATATTCCAATAAGAGCCCCCTATTTCTAATTTTGAGAGCTCCCTGGGCGCTTATTACGTCAAATACGGTATGTCATTTTGAATGTTGCTTGTGAAGTATTTTTACATGATTTGATGCATGGCAAGGGCAGGTAACTCTAATCATCCAAAAGTTGCATGACTCCATAGGTGATAAAAAGGTGAATATTGTTTCAAATTTCATAAAGTCATTAAAAACACTTATCTTTATTTTATTCTGTGATTGATACTGCTGAAAGATATACAATACAGAATACTTGTTCATATGAATCATTTTATTGTGATTACCCTTTCTATGTATGAATTTTTATGACTTTGGTCAATATATTTTATATTATAACTTATTTCAACCATGATTTATACAACAAACCATATGAAATATAATGTTCATGTTATCATGGCTATAATTTATGTAATAATATATTCAAATGTATTCATGACTTCCACATTTTTTTGTCCCATGAAAATTTAATCATTAGGTTTCTGCCTTTTGTGTTCATATATAGGATTCATTTTCAGCATTTTTAGACACGTTTTTGCTTTTGACTTTCTGGGAATGTTTTGCCAAAAATAATGCACCACATTAGAATGGAAAACAAATGCGTTAGCTGGAAATGTTTGATGCGCTACATATTGCTTTCTTTAGCAAAGTAATGATTAAAACTTCATGGTGATTTTAATACATTATCTTCCATTCCGTCCACTTTGACCCAAAATACAGACAATTCTTCCGAATATTCCTGAGCCAAAATAATTTTTAAGGTCACAAAGGTGTACAATGGAACACAGTTCTGTCCATTAATATGGATTATGAGTTGAATTAATGCCTTTGAAACTATAGATTGTTTGATTGTTTTAAAGCCGCACTCAGCAATATTCCATGCTATATCACAGCAGCCCTAAAATAATGGTGTCTGGACCAGACAATCCACTGATTGATATTGTGAACAATGATGGGGTATGAAGACACGCTATCAAGCAAGGCACAGAGACTAACCACATGACCCATTTCGTTGTCTCTTACAACCAGTACAAGTTGCTAGGCACCTCAGGGGGTTAATGGACTTGGGTGTTGAGATGTAAGAGAACATCAATCATGGGTTGTGGTTTAAGAAAGAAGTCATATTTCATTCCATGCAATTTTCATTGTGAAGGATTTGATGAAATTATAACTCATGCTTTAAAAAATCATTGTTTACTGAATTAAGACATGTCAAGATTGAACAAATGGTTTGTTTGGTTACACATTTAAATGTATCTTGTCCGTGTCTCAGATGAAGTTGTGAAAAACTTGCATCAAGCAAATAATATATCCAAATATTTATGCAATTCCATCTGATTGTTTGTTTGTTTATTTATGAAGCAAACATTTGTTTTCGTTGAGAAGTACATTTTACAATATTGCATAATGTGATAATTCATTCAAATGAATAAAGTTGATACATATATCAGTATCTTCTGTTCTTATTGTTTTCAAGATATTTTTTTATACCTATACTACGCAAAACAAGTTAAAGAACTCCCACAATTTGAAAGCTGTGTTTTCACAGATTAACTGTTCTTGAAAAAATCAGGTGTAGTTTAACTTCTTTTGAGTAGTATACATATACAACTAATACTTTGAAATGACGTATTTTACAGTCAGCCTTGCAGGACATGTTTCTGGGATTCTGTATGATGGCAACTGTAAATAATCAAGTCTGGGCCAGACAATCCAGTGACTGATATTTAAATATAGATCGAGTGATAAACAGTTTGAACCTCTCGTAAAAACATGGATGAAACAAAAAATGTTTTTGATAATAGTTTTATGCCCTTACTAAACTGTTTTCTGTAATAAAAATCTGTAATATATTTTTGGAGCAGAGCACATAAAATTAGTCTTGCAAATAAAGTAGTTAAAACTGAAAGTAGTATCTCCAAGTTAATATTTCATCACAGACCTAGATATTTTATACAGGTCCATGATTTTGAGTGAGTGAGTTGGGTTTAACGCCGCTTTTAACATTATTCCAGTTATATCACGGCGCGTCAGCTTAATGTGGGAGGAAAGACCGAAGTGATGCAGGTCTCAGACGTTTACCACTTCGGTGAAACCCACGAGCATGGGTATGGTGCTGACAAACCTGGAAACGTAATCGGGGCGAACCGGGATTCGAACCCACAATGATAGGTCTCTGGCGAGCCCAAGGGACGCAACTCTGCACAGCGAATCACGACGCCTTAGACGACTGGGCCACCCGTGCCCCCATTATTTTGACATAATAATTTAAAAGCAAATGTAACATATGTACTAGGTTAATTTGTGGTGTCATCTGGTCCTGTGTATGGTGTATAGGTCAGATGAGGTTAAGCAATGTATGGTGGAGAGTAGTTTGACTTGTGAAACACTTTGGCAGCTTGCCGCCTAAAAGTTTCCAGAAATTTGAACCTGCCCAATATTTAAGCACATGTGGTGTCTCCTTTGGCAGGTGACTTTGTTCAAAATATACCTCTATTCATACAGCAGAAAAGGGGTACCCGGTAGGATGAGATGATACTGTGACTATTAACCTTCCATCGCTCCACAGACACCTTGGATTGCATACTCCCAAGGGAGCTGAGAATGAAAATGTTGTGCACATTGATCAATTGATCAGGGAAATAATATATTAGCACCTTGAGCATTCAATTGGTGATGGAATCTCGCATATCATAAATGGTCTAATCAGTGCAGGGTGGGGTGGGGGTTGGGGGCCACCACACCCACCCACCTCTCCTCCACATCTCATGACATTTAGTATGCCAATTCCTGCAATTATAACACGAAGTGGACACACACAGAGTGCTCATCATTAGTTCATACCCATGGGCTTTGAAAGATTATCAAGAAATACATCTACCTATCACCAGCTGAACATTGCAACAAACAGACAAAGATACACAGAGTTGTCGCTCTCCAGTTGTCTCATTCCGAGACAAGTGGAACGTAACAGTCTACGGAAAGGTTGCGACGAATGGTTTGTACGGAGAGAGCCGGGAACCAGCTTACAATAAACTCCCTTCCAGCGCGAAGACAGGCATCCAGTCAAATCGGCGCGGGATTCGTGACCAACTCGTGTTATTCCGGGACAAGCCGAATAGCTGGTTACGGAAAGAGGCGAGTAGTGACGAATGGAACGTTTGCGAGACGATGGACCAGGAGACGAGAGACATTGTAAGTCAATCCAACATTTTGTCCTTTATTTCCCTATTGTTTCAAATTGTTTCAGATTATTGTAAAGATAAACATGTAACTTAAGTATCTGAGAACGTTTTTACATGTGATTTAACAACAATAGATCGTGTATCGATGAGGATATTGGGCTAAATGGAAACATAGGCCGCTGAATAAAACGGATGATCAGGAGGGGATTCCCCTCGGCCTCGTGACATTTCTGAAGAATATTGGTGCTTTTTTGGAGGATGTTTACTGTTTGTGATAGATGCGTGTTTACAATCATCAATTATCTGTAACTTCATCGGCCGTTATTTTATTCTAACATTCTTGGTTTTTTTTGTGTTTTTTTTTTTGTTATAGTCAGTGTTTAAAGTTCTACGTGATTTTTCGTTAAGTACAGATCAAAACCTTGACGCTTGAACTGATTGCACAACATAATCATTCGCCATGATACATGATGCAAGCCCACAGTTTTCGTTAGCACTTTTTAGCCAAGTGATTAGCCACCTATTTACTTCTAATCAGCTGGTGACAACTCTTGATTATCCCGTTTATACCGCTCCCACTTTATCAACACCATATATAATATTATTTATTCTCAAATAACGAGTTCCTGTGGGTCAGACATATTTTTACCACAACCTAGTTCACTCGAGCCTGACCACCCAATCCCGTACTGTGAGTTTGGGGAATCCCCTGTTTATACTGAGGTTAACCTCACAGTGTGTCAGACATCCATCAAACCTTATTGATAACATTACGTTTAAAGGGCAAGTGTACACAGATATTTAGACATTTTCTCAGTTAAACTAAATCATGTAAATCCTGAGTCTTGTTTCTTTAATGTCACATTATTATTAAAACATTACATAGTGCACCAACTTAACACTTAACCGCATAAATTCAGCACTTAATAATACTAAAACATGTCAATCGAAATCAAAATCAATAAGTGAGTTATTGGCCTTTGATAGGACAACATTCTGCCAACAATCCTGAACATTTAGATCTGTTCATTGAATTCCCAGATATATTTACGTTCTGTGATGACTGTAATATGTCACAGGATTGAGTAGTAGAAGTAAAAATTCAGTAGCGAGATCCATGTTCAGAGGACCTGTTTGTCCACTTGCTGTATAGATTGCATTAAATCATTGACCATCCAAATGACCTGATTGGTCACTGTTTGAATGATATGAGAGTGATGTCCCTTGGTTATGCTTTTACTGCATGACACCAGCAGACATGACCAATCCATCCGTCTGCTTCTCAAAGGGGACATATTTTCTCAAATACTATTATAGTTAGAGAAATTATATTGTACACACTGATATTACTGGTCATGATCTAATATGAGTTCGAAAAGTGGTGTCTCAAATTCAATTTGTACAGAGTAATGGCCGTTGCTCCATGCTTTTCAACTCAGTGCATAGTGACTGGAATAGAGAAAAGTTTTCTCAGAAACTATTGACGCTACATGAACTTGTCAAGACTTGGTTCGAAAATTGGTCTGTAAATTATTTTTTCGAGAGTTACTTTCCTCATGTTCCTTGCTACATGTTTTAATATTTTGACCATACACGGCCCTTTATCCATGTTATTTTACAAAGTGCATAGTTTCTGCAATGTGGACAAGTTTCTCAGAAACTACTGAAGTTAGCTTATCTTAGAGATACTTATCAAGACTGAGTTGGAGAACTGGTGCCATAAACAGTGATAAATTATTTCTTCCAGAGAAGGTGCCTTTCGTGTATATTAATTTCACAATTACCTGGTAATAATTTTTGTTGATGATATAAAGCAACCCTAGTGTCTATCTCTTCTTAAGGCTTTATAGGACACTTTTCTATAGTTTATATTCGCTACTATTTGAGTGAGTGAGTGAGTTTGGTTTTACGCTACTTTTAGCAATATTCCAGCATTATCACGGCGGGGGACACCACAAATGGGCTTCTCACATTGTACCATGTCGGGATTCGAACCCAGGTCTTTGGTGTGACGAGCGAACGCTTTAACCGCTAGGCTACCAGACCGCCCCTCGCTACTATTTGAACATGATGAACAAACATTTCTAAACTGCACCATGGTTGGGGATAGTGATCACGCTGTTTTCTTGTTTCTGAATGATGTGGAGCTCTCCTGTTAACATTTTTAACTGAAACTGTTTTGATTTTTTTTCTTCAGAAAATGGAGACAATGTTACCAGCTTTACGTGAAATCATTGCACAACAAGTAATGGAGGATAGAGAAGGACATAACTCTGACTTTTATCCCCCTCAACAGAAACATGTTCAAGGTAAGAAACACTGAGAATACTCTGACAATAAACATGATAATTCTTTGTTATGTTGAAGTCACTAATAATCCATTGACAAACTAATGTTTGCAACTTTTGTTTTAATAATTGTTTATCATTTTGCACAGGGAATACTCGACTTCTTTCACTAATTACTTTTTGTTCCAACAAGCTTTACCCTTTGTTGGAGTGAGTGAGTGAGGTTTTACGCCGCTTTTAGCAATATTCCAGCAATATCATTGTGGGGAACACCAGAAAACCCTTCATGAGAGATTCTACATTAGGTTGTATGTTATCATTATGTTTGGTAATTTTGGTGATATGTACCGCCACAATGTCTACCTCCACAGCAGCATAGACTTTTGAAATGAAAACTCTTTTTTTAAAAAAAAGAACTTTCATTGTTATTCAATATATTGCTGTTATTGTGTTTGAATTTAAGGACTCACTAAACTGGAAGCAGTGTACTATACATGCTATTTGAACTTAAAAAAATAATTTAAAAAATCCACTATATATTTTGTCCTTGTCCACTTTATTTCCATGACAGATTGAGTCTCTATTTTATGACTTTGTATTTGATTAATTTTGTTTGTTTGTTAAGGTGGTTGTAAAGTGTAGACTGCTCCAGAATGCCTAGTGATTGTTATGTGTGTTTTGTTTGTTTGTTTGTTGTTTAACGCCGCACTCAGCAATATTCCAGCCATATGATGGCGGTCTGTAAATAATCGAGTCTGGACCAGACAATCCAGTGATCGATATCATGAGCATCAATCAACACAATTGAAATACGATGACATGCATCAACCAAGTCAGGGAGCCTGACAACCTGGTCCATTAGTTGCCTCTTACGACAAGCATAGTCGCTTTTTAAGGCAAGCATGAGTTGCTGAAGACGTATTCTACCCCGGATCTTCACGCGTCTCTTAGTTTCTAACACTATATGACAGATTTGTTCTTTCTCACAGATGACTTGTCCAATGATGGCCACTTCCCTGATGACATCTGCTTCCCAGCAAGAAAAACAGGGTTTGTCAGCCCCCCTGATCCATGTCAACCCCTTAAACAGGGCAAGCAGGGGGAACCACATCATGTTCATCATAAGCAGGACGGGGAGAAGGAGGAGATCCTGTTTGAAGAAAGCCAGGAAGTGGAGACTGTCCCTCCCACGTTTGAGAACCTAAACATAAGGCCCCGAGGAACTGTGGTTTGCGCCACTGTGGTAGAAAGCATCACCATTCTCAGTAGTCAAGACAACAGCTTCCATGACTTGAAAACCCCATCGATCAAGGTCAAGGTCAGCATAGAGGAGGAGAGTGTGGATGTTTACAATGACTCCCAGTAAGTACGGCCATGATATGAAGCCAAGCTTCATCTATAAGGTGTTTACCACTGTCCTTGAATTGATGAGGCAAATTTAGTTGATGGATTTATGATTAGGGAGATTATGCCGTCACATATTGTTGTGTTTTGTTTGTATTGTTTTGTTTTTGGGACAGACCCACTTTTGGGCTATAGTAGCAGTCTGTGCCCCCCAAAATTGAAAGCCTTCTTGCTTGAAGTTGGTACTAATCAACATTTTCATTTGATTGGATGGGCTTTTTGAAAAAGAATGTTTTTAAAACAAGATATAAAGTTGCTTAATAATTTAAAAATTGGAAATGAATATTAATTGTGGTTACTTAGCAAATGCCTGATTGTTGATAAAATATTCATTAAAAAATCTGAGCCAGCATGTTGAGTGTGGTTGTCTGAAGTGTTTTTTTCAATTACTTCCGTCAAGGTGCGTCGTGCTAGGATCCAGCCAAGATGTATCGTTGTTGTTCAGTGTGTTTGACCAGCAGAAAACAGGAACCTATGGAGTCATTTTGGATAATGTGAGTGTTTGACTTTCGGGAAGAATTTTTGTTATCAATGTCCATGGTTATTAATGTCTTAATAAAACAATTATTTAAATTATTTTCTTTTGTTTTCTGAATAATATCAATATCAATTTATAAGAAATTACTGTCCATCTTTTGAGTTAATTTAATAATGTGTTTGACACGTGATGATGATGATGATGATGATGATGATGATGATGATCTCAGTTTCTTGGACTAAAAATCAATACCTTTATGGATTTGGGATGAAATATAAATGTTGCATAAACATATAATAAAGTTTTGGATTTAGTTGAAGTTGTCTTTCTGTTTTCAGAGCATGAAACCATCTCCGCGTGGCAGGTACGACCATGGAAAAGAATACCAGGTCATTAAAGAGTTGGGTCGTGGAGGGTTTGGCCAGGTTGACCTCTGTGAGTACAGGTCAGGGAAGAAGTATGTGAGCAAAAAGGTAAATATAAGTATATATATATATATATACTGTGTAGATATTTCAGAGGGGTTAAAGAATTGTTGTTTCTTTTCTCAAGTTACTGAAACCGAAACAAGATGAAATGAGTTTGCAGTTGCCCAAAATTAGAAATCACTTTCCGAAAGGACTTTCCGATAAGGGCCCTTTGGGGCCCCCAGAATATGAATCTGTTGGGTCCTTTATGTTCCACTCACTCAAAGAACTTGATCTTATTTAATATATTTTTATTCCTTACCATTGGTCAGTATTGGTGGCTCAACTTCAAATGAAAGAAAATATGATTTCAAAGTGCTAGTGCATGTCATGGTATTCAACTGCGTGGATCGATGCTCATGATGTTGATCACTGTATTGTCTTGTCCAGACCTGTTTATTTACAGACTGATGTAGTATAGCTGGAATATTGCTGAGAGCAGCAATAACAAACAAAGAAACAAGCTAATGCAGATTTATTTTGCCATATTTGTCGCCAGATTTCTGCCCGATTCCACAAGAAGGAGGTTGAAGTTCTCAACACTTTGTCCCACCCCAACATCACCGGTTTCCTTGGCTACATCTTCAGGGAGGGCCGTCATGAGATCCTCATGGAGTACGCTGGTGGGTTCAGCCTTAGAGTCTCTGTCAGACCATCTGTGTTTGTTTACATGATTTTGTCTCCAAACCGGTTCTTAGTTACTGTCCTGCTAAAAAATAAGAGGAATGTTTTTGTATTCACTTCAATACTTATCCTCCTCCCCTTTATTAAACTCATGAATTTCTTTCTCGTTTAATAAAGAAATCTGTGGTGTATGTCATTGTAAGGGAAGTAACTCTGCCTATAATGGTTTATGTTTTTTCAACTTTTAAACACATTGCTGGTTTTTCTCATAATTAGATTTTACTCCAAATTCAGTAAAAATACCTTAATTGGAAATAGAATTTCCCAATTCATTATGTTCATGTGACTTATTTCACTGTAACAGGACCAATAAAGACTTTAATGCTCAGTTTTACATTTATTGAATTGAATGCAGTGAGAAAATACAAAGTTAAAATATGAAGTCCAAATTTTGAAGAAAATAAAGGTTGGTTTTTTTACTGTGCCTGCTGAGGGCAGTGTGTGTGATATGGATGAATCACTGACGCTGGTGCTGACCTTCCAGGTGTGTCCCTGTCTGCCTTCATCGCGGCCAATAGCAACTGGCGAGAGCTGTGGACGCCGGACGCTGTGATGAGGATGGCCATGCAGGGGTTCTCAGCCCTGGCCTATATGCACACTGTGTTCGAGATTCTACACCTCGACATCAAACGTGAGTAGTTTTTGCAACACTTAACTTGCAATATCATGAAAATCAGATCTTCTACTCTGTGGGGGACACATCCAAAGGATTTCGTGTCAGGTGAACCTTGAGAAAACTTTTACTGCCCAGTCTACGAGAAGGAGCATATCTTCCAGAGGCAAGGGAGTTTACTGAGTGTAAAAGTCTAGTTTTCACCTTTGCTGAACTAGGCTGGTATTTTGTATACCACCAGTAGCTTCTATGGCCCTCCTATTGACCAATCAGATTGCACTCTCATATCACTTGCAATTCCACTTTAAACAAAATGGTGGCTCGGGCCCGGTCAAGACGGTCTCATCGATTGGTTGATTTGGCTGATTTCCCTACCACCTCGGGATCGGGTGTTCAGGTATGCTGACCTGGTTGAAGCATGTCATCAATCCCAATTGCGTGTATCAATGCTCATGATATCAGTCACTGGATTGTCTGGTCCAGATTCGATTATTTACAGACCACCGTCATATAGCTGGAATATTGCTGAGTGCGGCATAAAACAACAAACCAACCAGCAACCAACCATACCACCTTGTTTCAGATATTTTGATTTTAACAAAAGAAAATCATGCAGGGCACAAATATGCCTTTGATGGTTTTCCCTTTTCAGTGTAGAAGCCACAGAGCTGAGGAAAGACAGGATGTATAAAATATCCGCAACAATATAATGGTGTGGCCATCATTACGTACATTTGTGAAGTGTTTAAGCTCATGTTTGGGATCCAGTAATTAGGTATGCACTTCACGATTGCTTCATGTTTTTGCATTCTGAACCATGTAAGATTTATCGTCAAGATACAGACATCAGATATGCATACTGAGAAATTAGAAACCACGATGCTGATTGGCTGATCAATGGTCACCTGACACGACCTCTGATGAAGGTGTCCCCAAATCTTGATGAAGAGAGGTATCATATCAGAGTAAGAGATCTGATGTTATTAAGATTGTGTTAAATCCTTAACTAAGCTATAATAAGCTGATCTGTTGCATTGAGGCAACATCTATCATTTTATCAATTGATCTTTGTGGGTGGAGAGAGGGAACTAATCATGTACACCGATATTACTTCAGAACTTGAAACACCACGTTTTCTTTCTGAAAAGCGGTTAGTCTCACATGTTGAATGTTATGACGCATAGAGCTTTGGTCACATGTTTCACTTACATCTGCATCATGATACTGTACAACGTTACACTATTTCAAATGGAATTATGCTTTTTACCCCACTGATTCCAAAACTTAAATTAGGGTTGACATCTCTCAATAGTGATCAGTGAGATTTTATTTTCAACAATGTTGATTTTCAGCGGATAACATTTGCATCGCTTATGAGGGGGACAATTCACCGGTCGTCAAACTGACAGATTTCGGGACAAGCAAGACGCCTGAGGTGGCGATTTCCTACGAGGGATGGACCCCCGAGTACATGTCCCCTGAAGCCTGCAGACGTTACTTTGCTGCGAAGATGTCTGTCTTCCCCCAATGTTTCCTAGACGACGAAGTGACGGGCAAGTCGGACGTGTTTGCGTTCGGTCTGACGATCTGTTACATGCTACAAGGACAGCACACTGTCCTACTTCTGTGGAAGAACCAGCTCAGCTTGTGTAGTGCTCAGGAATTTGCAGCACTTCGACCAAACTTCATTAGTTATGTGAGTTTTTAGGTAACAGATATTCAGTGGCTTAGGTATTTTTAACTTTGCTGATTTAGTGTTTGATATGTTTAATAATATCTGCTTGTAAAAAAATATGAAAAATAGAATATTGGTTCAAATACGGAGTAATTCCTTGTAGACTGCTTGACATTACTTGATGGATTAGAGTGTGACGCCTTCTCCAATATCCCCTCTGCAGTGTCTGGCCTCAGTGCTGCAAATGTATTACTTCTAAATTTCAATGTGCAATCATTTCAATCAAGTCATTAAGGTTTCTGTAAGTCCAATTTTACTAACTAGGTACACAATCCCCTATTACCCGTCCTTGGGGGCACGGGTGGCCCAGTCGTCTAAGGCACCACAATTCGCTGTGCAGAGTTGCGTCCCTTGGGCATGCCAGAAACCAATGATTGTGGGTTTGAATCCCGGTTCGCACTGATTATGTTTCTAGGTTTGTCAGCACCATACTCGTGCTCGTTGGTTTCACTGAAGTGGTAAACGTCGGAGACCTGCATCACTTGGGGCTTTCCTCCCACATCAAGCTGACACGCAGTGATATGACTGGAATACTGTTAAAAGCGGTGTTAACCCCAACTCACTCACTCACTCACTATTACCCGACCTTACCCAGGTACCCACTTAGTCTCAAGAGTTGGGAACAAGATGTCTGATTGGGAATTGTTTTGCGCAGCCCTTGCAAAAACTGTTTAGATACATGTATATAACGATCAGATCATGCGTAGACTGAAGATATTCAAACATATAAAAGTCAAATGAATGTGTGCATTGTTAGAAAGAAATGCGAACGTTAGTGACTTACAGTATAAACTGTCTGTCTGTAGTGTAACCACTGAGCTAGAGTGAGTTTTTGTCATTAGACAATATATCATGTAACTAACCACGGGTCCGGGTAGTCCAGTGGGTACCCGGGTCCTACACAGGACCCACCTGACCCTAGTACCAAAGTTACCCGTCCCAGCCCTAGTAATTATTTGTACAGCCATAATTCAGTTTCCGACACATCCATCATTGAAGACATCTGCCCTTCATTTCCACAGCTTGCACAGAGTCCCAATTACATCCAGGAGCACGGCATCCAAGCTGACTTGCCCGAAAAGATCCGTCAGCTGCTGCGGTGTCTGCTGGCTGGAGATCCCAAGGTCAGGATGACGGCTGAGGAGGCAGCGCTGTACATCCAGCAGGAAGTACTGGCACAGCAAGGTCAGGGTCATAGCTGTTCCTTTCACCTCCCTCCTCTGACTTTTCTTTCATTTCTGGAAGTTTCATTCAGTCAGGTTTTGATTTCTGGTTTAAACACAAACCATGCTTCCGTCTATATACTAGTACCCTATGGCAAAACGTTTATGTTTTCATTTTAAGGCCAAAAACAAAAATATACAAGAATGTTTTTCAAATATAGGTATTGCTGGTTCACTGTGCCATGCTTGATTTTGGATGGATTACAAATGGAAAAAGCAAAATGCAGATAGGCATGACATGTTTTTTCTTTTGTTCAGATGTTAACTGTTTAAAGCCATATGCAATGGAAATATCTACTAGGAAGAAAATGGCTTTTGTTGTTGTAAGAGTATATTAATTGTTGGAAGACCATATGTATCAAAATATACTAGATACCAGTTTTTCATCTCATGTAATAATCTGTAAATGAGATAAAACTGTGTTGACACACATCTCTTGTTCCTAATTACTCAATTTTCTGATTCCATCTTTCATTTCACAGTCCTCCTGCCGAACATTCTGCCACCATCCTCACCGTCTTCAAGTATCTCGGCAGCATCTGGTGACCTCATGACCTCTGACCTGACACAGCCACTGAAGGACATCTCACTGAAGAAACCAGTGCCCCCTAGTGGAGGAAAAGACATCAAGAATAACCTTCGTCAGAAACTGCTGAGGAGGAAGTCCACGGACCCCTACCACCGACATGGCAGCCGCACGACAAGCTGTACAAGCAGAGCTGACCCAGAAGCAGACAAGCTGCCCAACTTTGCTGCACTCTTTGATTAGTCGTGTCAAAATACATTTCTTGTTTCTCATGACCTGACATCGTTAAATATCCCCTGCCTCTAACATTTAATATTTTTTTTATTAAGCACTGCTATGATGTTAAATTATTCAACTTTTATTTCGTTTTGGCAACTGATTCTGACTTTTTGCACACACCATATCATTCTTAGCATAGAAGGGTTACCAAACTGGTCACCATGGCATTGAGATGCAGGGGTGGCTCAAAGATGTCAGGTGGTGCATGAGAAGCAAGTTTTCTGTAAGAAATTTATAACCTATTTAAGATTAATAAATTTAATCCTTGTTCCCTACCCAGTCAGAAAAAGTTGTGAGAAACAGGAATATGTGTTTGTCAGCTTTTTTAGCGAAATTCATTGTCCAAACTTCTGTTTGAGGCCGAAGGTCAAGAAGGAATGAAACAGCAAATATGCAAGCTTGCCTGCTTGTTTTTTCTCTCGCTAGCCTGGGTTCCACAAATTTGGGTCTTCGTACTTCGTTTCTAAACCACATTTTTATCCCCCTGGCATATAATGTGGGGGGATTTTGCAATCAGCCAGTCTGTCTGTCCCTCCGTCTGTCCGTCCGTAATCATTTCCTTTTCCGGGGCAGAATTCGAAAACCATTCAGTGTATTTGATTGAAACTTGGCAAAGCTATCAGGCACATACTGAAGTGGTGCCTTTTGATATTTGGGGATTTTTCTAATTTTTATTTTTTTAAATTTTTATGGAATGAAGTTGGACATAGACTCAATTGGGGATGGGGTATGTTTCCGGGGCAGAATTCGAAAACCATTCAGTGTATTTGATCGAAACTTGGCAAATGTATCAGGCACATACTGAAGTGGTGCCTTTTGATATTTTGGGGTTTTTTTAATTTTAAATTTTAAATTTTTTATGGAATGAAGTTGGACATAGACTCAATTAGGGATGGGGTTCGTTTCCAGGGCAGAATTTGAAAACCATTCAGTTTATTTGATCGAAACTTGGCAAAGCTATCAGGCACATACTGAAGTGGTGCCTTTTGATATATTTTTTTTTACGAATTTTAATTTTTTACAATTTTTATGGAAAGAAGTTGGACCTAGACTCCATTGGGGAACGGGTTCATTTCCGGGCCAGAATTCGAAAACCATTCAGTGGGTTAACAATGTATGCTTCTAAAAGAACATTCAACTGTTGACTCATTACATACAGAATTGCACATTTACTAGTGGTTACTTTACAGACAGCTGCCGGGGGGATATGTCATCTTTCTGATGACTCTTGTCCATTTTGTTAGTGTCTTGGTTGATCCATAGTGCCTTGAGGTAGGGATTGTCTATTGTCGGGTTTGTGTATAAAACATCCAGCCATGTTCTGACTACCATAAGGGAGCAGTTCCAAATCGTTTAGACAGAAACTGACAATCACATGATCCTCATCTTTAAACATGTAGTAGTGCTCCCCTGCTTAAGTGTTCTATTTAAGTGCTATCCTGTTTAAGTGCTCCCTGCTTAAGTGCTGTCTTTTTAAGTGCTGTCTTATTAAGCGTCTTTTATTTAGAAATGCTTTTTAACTTATATTTCTTACTGTTTGTTTTGCTGTATACATGGAAAGATGGGAACACAGATGGGAGTTTCTTCATCTGTAGTTTCCTTGGGTCTATAAGAATGTGGGGAAGGGTGTTGGGTAGTGAGGTTGAAAATCAAATCATTCATGGGAGATATTTACATTAGTATTTGACTTGAAATTACAAATTTTGATAGCACAGTTTTGGTACTTTCTAAAAAAGAGTACATGTGTACTGTCATTTTCACTCTAAGACTCTTGTGGTATTTAGGCCTATCTATGTTTTAGTTTATCTTGTTTTAAGACCTGTTTTATGTATTTTTATGTTAAATAAAAAAAAATATAAAAATGGAAAAAAAGACAAATAAAAACATCATAAAATTGTGCAGTTTGCTGCTGTAAATAAAATGCTTTTGCTTTTTATAAGACAAGTCTGTTGTATGAATACCAGCATGAGTGTTTCCTAGCCTCTCATTGCAGTGAGCATGTATATGGTTAACACTGCTTGCAGTAATATTCCAACTGTATCATGGCAGGGGACACCTATAATGTGGGGAATCAAACCTGGGTCTCCAGTGGGATGAGCAAACACTTTATCCACTTGGCTACCCAACCACCCTTATTGTGGTGAATACATCGGGTCTGGGGTACAGTGGTCTGAAGCAAGGGGTTATTGCTGAGACCGTACCTGCTAGTGACCAGGTTGTGACCACACTGTTTACAGATCTTTAAACACTACCCCAAGTGTTCAGTATGTTCATCCAGTGCACTCAAAAGAACCCACTCATCCGTTGGTAGATGACAAGATGTTGGAAACATAAGTTTTTTGTTTGTTTGTTATTTAACGCCGCACTCAGCATTATTGCAGCTATATGACGGCGGTCTGTAAATAATCGAGTCTGGACCAGACAACCCAGTGATTGATATCACGAGCATCGATCCACGTAATTAGGCTAAGGCGACATGCACCAACCAAGTTAGCAAGCCTGACCACTCGATCCCATTAGTCACCTCTTACGACAAGCATAGTCGCCATTTACGGCAAGCATGGGTTGCAGAAGACCTATTCTACCTGGGATCTACACGGTCTGGAAACACAACATACCCCTGACACGAAAGTGACTTAGTTCAAATGTACCTCTGTTAACCCAGCAAGGGAAGGGGTACCCGATGTGAGGGATATAAAAACCTTCCAGCGCCTGTAGGCAGTATTGATTGTATACTCCCTAGGGAGTTGAGAATGATAACTGGAATGCATACAGAGCGACTGATTGGGGAACCATTAAATACAACATTTAAGAAGAAATGTCTGGATAAGTTCACTATATAAATGTATAATAATAACCATCTTCCCGAGGCAAGGGAGTTAACTACAAAAGTCCAGTTCCCACTGAGAACTGAACTTTTGCAGAGAGTTAACTCCCTTGCCTCGGGAAGATGCATAACATGATATTAATGTGCATGTGATTATCATGTAATCATGGTAACAACACAGAAGTACAGGACTGCCATCCGAATGCTGTACGTGTAGTCAGAGTAAACTGAGTGATTGTAAAATGTTGTCTGACACTCATGGCAGCTTGTATATAACTGATTCATTTCACTGCTGGTAGTGACACTGAAAGCTTTGGTAGGGACCCTTGAGGCAGGCTCCAGTCAAGAAAACGTCCATCATCACCACTAAGACATTTTGTAGTCTGCAAGAGGTGGTGAGGTGAAATGAGGTTTAACGTCGCGTCCAAGATTATCGCACTTATATAGCGACGTGCATGTACGTGAGTGTGTTTGTATGGCTGCTTGTACTAGTCCGGACTGATGCCGATTTATAGTGCTAGCTCACTGAGATACCATGCCGCAGTTTAACATGAATACCCCACTCAGACACAGTATACTGACTCCGAGCCGACCAGTCCTTGTTTTAGCCCCTTAATGCCGAGCGCCAGGCAGGGTAACAACAAGTACCATCTTTTAACGTCTGTTGGTATGACGCGGCCGGGGATCGAACCCCGGACCTTCCGCTCTCCGGGCGGACGCTCTACCACTAGACCACGGAGGCGTTCTAGTCTGCAAGAGGATGCAGGAATGACTTCAGTTGGTTGGTCCCATATTGACAAGATCCAGCTGTCTGATCCCAACATGTAGGGCAGCTGCACTGATGAATTAATGCATACGCTGCATGCGGCTGCCTCCCATATGTTGCATGTTAATATACACGTTATATACACTTGCATCACCATGTTTCAGGGAATGCGTAACCAGAGTAATGTACCATGCATCTCCTGATTGTGTGAGTAATGTACCTTGTACTCATCCTATGTCGACCACCTCCGTGGTCTAGTACGTGGCAGAGAGTCCGCCCGGTGAGCGGTAGGGCCGGGGTTCGAACCCCGGCAGCGTCATACCAAAACACGTTAAAAGATGGTACTTGTTGTTACCCTGTCTGGCGGTCGGCATTAAGGGGCAAAAACAAGGACTGGTCGTCTCGGCGTCAGTATACTGTGTCTGAGTGGGGTATATATGTTAAACTGCGGCATGGGCTAGCAATATAAATTGGCATCAGTCCGGACAAGTACAAACAGACGCACGCGCGCGCGTGCATGCACGTCGCTTTTCAAGTGCAATAATCTTGGACGTAAAACCCCATGTTATTCCCTTTGTGACATCTTAAACTTATGATGAAGTTTAGAAATCCCAAAATATATATCCAATTTTGAAAACTCTGAAATCGACCTTTACAAAGATACATAAAATCTTCAGACGTGACTTTCCGCTCCAAAATGTCAGCTTCGCTGTGACGGAGGCTCGAAAGCTCGAATGCATACTCTTGTAACAAAGCGCAGTCCTCAAAATGTAAAGGTATAAAATAATTGAATTAGCATTTCTTAGAGAAATACCGAAAGGGTTAACAGTTTAGCACATGACGTAAACCCTCCCCTCATTTTGAATTTCAGCCAAAAGACCGAAACAATGAAATTATTGAACAGCATCATGGACAAGTTCATCAGTTGTCTGGTGACTGTACAACTTTTTACGAACATGCCACCGCTTATGAACAGTTTGTGAGTTATGTTCCGGAAGAGAACCAAAACTTGAACGATGGTGCCTCTGCTTGGCAACTATCATGAATCGAAAGGTATACCAGTTCAGAATGGGACTTCAGCAACCCATGTTTGACGTAAAGGGCGAGTGTGTATTACGACAAGCACACTTATGGTCGGCCATCCGGTCAAAAAAGACAAAGTGGATATAAGGACAAAATACGCAATATATTTATAGTGAAATGTTACGAATAAAGATTGAATGTTTCAAATAATGGTCGTTGTTTGCCTACATACAATGGGTGAGTGAGTATGGTTTAACGCCGCTTTTAGCAATATTCCAGCAATATCATGGCGGGGGACACCAGAAATGGGCTTCACACATTGTACCCATGGCGGGAATCGAACCCGGGTCTTCGGCGTGACAAGCGAACGCTTTAACCACTAGGCTACCCGACCGCCCCTCATACATTATAATGAATTCAAAATACAAAACGATACCAATGAACAACTCGCAAACGGAAGACGTCATATGTAAAGAAAGAACAAAATGTACTAAGAGGCGACTAACGGGATCGGCTGGTCAAGCTCGCTAACTTGGTTGATGCATGTCATCGTATCCCAATCGCGTGGATCAATGCTCATGATATCAATCACTGGATTGTCTGGTCAGACTCTATCATTTATAGACCGCCGTCATATAGAGTCTGGAATATTGCTGTGGCGTTTAAACAACAAACGGCAAAATCCTGGAATCAACAAGGTGTTAACAATTACTTGGGAAGATGCCTTTCATTTGAATCAGTTCGTTTCACCTTCTCTGTCACAGCCTCTGGAGGACGAATGTTAACAGTTCAGAAGTGTGTTTCCAGTGTAGTCAACAAGGACCACTCGGTTATTTGTTTTCCTGTGTTCCAAACATTTTTAACATCATACTTAATACTGAAGCCTACTTGTGACGACATTTCTATTCTCTGTATCGACACTATTGTTTTGTCTGATATGCAACTCACTCGTTTTCAACCAACACACGGCCAAAATCATGGCTTGGATCCTGACTTGCGTAGTGCAGGAAGAAAACCAGCCAAGCAGTAAGGTCACGTGGTACTATGACAGTCTCGCGAGATTTATGACGTCGCCATGACGACAATTTTACTGCTGATATCGCCATTGCTGTGCTATCATACTGCTATCATATCGTCTCTTTTCTGCTGTTATTTGCCTGGTATTTTGCTCTTCATCGTATACACCATGAGCTCCTACGCCCAAGGTATTTCTTTATTTCTGAATTTGCTAGTTTGGCTTTTTTCTTTCTTTTAGGACTTATTATCTTTATTCTACTAAGTTCAGTCTGAAGTAGGGAAAAGACTTCCAGAACACACTGGCATCAACGATGATAATTTGACGTGTATTCATATCTTTTCACGTTAATTGAGACCGCCTTTTCCACCTTTTCCTGATTCTGTTAATAAACAAGACATTCATGTTTTATTAGATGTATCTTTTCAATTTTAAATATTTTAACTAATCGACGCCGATTGTATCAGAGCGGGTGGTCTGAGGCTGATAAAAATGGCGAGTGGCCCTTGATTACCCTCTGATTTATATTTTGGATTAGCTGATCAACTCTCCAGTTTGGGATTTAATTACATTTCTACAACGAGCGGGAGCCCTCCAGTGCAAAGCCCACCAGTGTTATTTGTCATTTCTTAAACGCTTTGTGATTTGTTTCCCTGTCCAAAATGTAGATCTTTGATCCAACGCTCTTTGGATCTTTGTCTTACTAGGCCTAACAGTTACTTTTCTAGGAGCTTTTAAATATTCTTGTTTACCGAGGTTTTTGTATATTGTTAAACCAGCAGGCAAGTGGCCAGCTATTCATTTTTAGTAGCCCTTAGATATTTTACATGTCATTAATCAGGGAGGTAGTGTTGGTTTCCAGGACTGTTTCTACTAATTAGATGTTGCTCTCCACAATGGTTTAGATTCTGTATATATACTTGTTCAGTACCACACATACACGACAATCAAATACCAATAATTATACAATTCAAGTACTTTAGACCAAATCTTGATAGTTTTAGATACGTAAGTAATACAAATATTATTATCTTCAAATGGTTTGAACCAAAATTAACTAACTTAATGTTCCACCCCACACCTGTTTACCAGTTATAGTACATAATATATACAAAATGGTAAATTGGTTTCAGAATAAGCAGTTTGAACAAAATAATTGGCTCTTCCCATATTCCATTATACCGAACCAGACAGAACTAACGTATGGTTCCAATCCACTTCCGTACCAGTTCTGTTTCCCACAGTGCTTCCTGGGTATCCATTACACTTTGAGTAACATTTCAATGTTATCATCTGCAGTGTGAAACTGTTGTCTTCCAATTATAATTTATAGTTCTTCATATCTTAGGAGTAACACATGGAAGTAACCTATTAAGGAAGTAATCATAATGTATAAATAGATCAGAAACTGTCCAACAACTGGTACAGAAGTTGGCACAAAAAAATCAGTTTAAATCTCTGTTTCCGTCCACTAGGCCTTATAATGATAACATATAGGAAAACCCTTAAAAGGGCATATTTCTACTAGTCCTTATGATACCTTAATTATTTGGCAGGGGGAAATATACTATACGAGGACTATTGCCAATTTCTAACTTTGGGCCATGACAACAAGATCCACACATGCTTGAAATTGCCTTGAATTTAATGCATGGTTCGCTCTAGGAATTTTCTGACATGGACCCTTTATAGGAACATTTCAAATATTCCAGATGTAGCGCATTCACAGTGGTAGAAACTAACTGCTTTAGTCCACTTGTCCTTATAATGATAACATATAGCAAATCCCTTGAAAATGGCAAATTTCTACAGGACTAGTGCCAATTTCTATGGCTGATTTAACACAATGTTAAAATGCCCCATTGTATTTTAAAATGTGGGCCTTTTTCAAAATTTAGAGACTAAATGCACAAGGCCCCACCCTAGAATTATCTCTGTTTATGGTCCCTTTGAAAAGCCTAGATTGTTAGTGTCAATCTTGAAAACGAAATGAAATATGCTTGTTGAAGATAATAGTTATGAACCAAAGATGTTTAAGTGTGATGTATCACAGTGGAACATTTGTGTGTCAAAGACCATGAAGAATTCACCACAAACGTAATTTATTTTGTTTGTTGGTTGTGAAACTAAATCTTGTTGGAAAATTTGTGATGTTCATGCTGCTTTTTATGTCATTGTAAGCGAGATTTAAAAAACATTAATATTGGCAGACTAAGGCTAATAACCCAACTAATAAAGCCTTGAAACAAGACTTTGGTAAAAAAATAAAGGCTAGTGGACGCTCTTGTCTCGGGAAGATGCAGAGCTTTATGAACCTTGCGCTATGGTACTGGGAGAAGGAATATCTGGAACACAATCACCAATGTTCATGTGTTTCTCCAAGTCATATTCTGAAATCGTACACATTACGACCATTTGAAATGTATACCAACCAATGAAAAAAGAAATATTCTTTCATAGCTAAAACTCCAACACTGACAACATTGTTAGTATTTATACGAGTAAGTACAATAACATTCTACTGCTTTGTCTGTATCCTGTAACACTTGGGGTAAAGCAAGCACATTGGTTGGGACAGTGGCGGTGGCAGTAGCTCCCTGGCAATGGTGTACGCAAACACCACATATATTACTGTTTGCTTTACAGTTAAAGAAAGATAATAGCATTTGTATCACTGCTTTATGAACACATACTAGTACTTCTTGTCAAGTCTAGACAAATACTCCATATATATTTCTGCTTTCAGCCCAACTTTCATATATCTATGTAATCACATATACTAAATACTTATCTTGTAACTCTGAATATCCCCCAGCAGTTTACCTAATAATACAATGAGTATATGTTATATATTTACCAACGGTTTGGGTAAATTTAGGTTATTCTACCCCAGCTTGAAGGTGTCGCATGTATGTACCACAATCTGTACATCCTACTTTTGAAAACATTACATTAAGATGTTCTGATGATGAGCAATCCTACTTCTGTGTGATTTTAAGACTTCATCCAATGATGTTATAATCGCCCTTCACTTTTCAGTGTGTAATAATTGACTCCCATGACATTGAGTCAACAGAACAACTGTAAACCTCTTTGAAACTCGTTTATATACTGTTCAGTTGATCCTGTCTTGTTTATCCTTATTTAAGACTCTGATTCCTTCTTACTCGACAGCTGTTGACCTCGTGATCAGGTTCCCCTTGAACTTTGACATCTGGGCCCCTCCTCGCCAAGTGGGTGTCTTTGTAATTTACAAGAGTAATTGTAAAACTGAAATTGTATGTCTTGTATTTGATGAGTGTATGGACTCATCCATGTAATATATAACTAACACATACGCTATTGACTTGCAAACTAATATATATGTCCTGTAATGACCACACAATGTAATTACAAACGATCTTCTAACAACATGAGTATCCCTTAATCCATTTCCAACATCTACCAATCTCTTTCTCTTATTTCTCAATACTTTCATCTTCTGTCACTCTCTACATGTCCTTCTCTCCCTCCCTGTCAGCATCGTCCTGGGAGATACATGACCATCCTTGACCCCTTGTCTGAGCTTCCCGTCTCTCCCACCTCTCTCCCTGCCCCTCTCTCTACCCCCGTCCTCCATGATGCCCCTCACTTCGTCGATATCGACCTCGATGATGACGACACCCCGACCCAGTCCCCAGTTCGAGTCTTCCTGTCACGTGTGTCTGGATTCTTGAGGAGTGTGTTCCGTGTCAAGATGGACGCTTAGAGTGACATCTTGCTACCTCTTGGACGATGTGTCATATAATAATTAATTATCTTGAATCAATAATACAACATATATGTTGTTTTGGGGCCTTTTTTACCTTTCGGACGTTTTTATACTTTTCGGACCTTTCGGACATTTTGTGCTTTTGGTTTTTTTCAGAAATGTACTATATTTTTATCATACGTTAAAATACGTATCTTTTGATTTACTCATTTTGGCTCTTTCGGACAAGGTTTCTTTACATTTGTTTAACTTGATTAAATTAATTACCGATCCCAATATAACTAAAGATTTCTTGATTTTCTAGCTCCTTTGTGTTGTCTTTTTTTATGTAACATCCGATTTTAGTTTTGATGCAACGCGTTGTTCTATTTGAACTCATCACAGCAGATAGTTGGTCGTTGGTGCCCCCTTGCATAGCAGAAATGTAGTACCAGAGTAATTAGGGGTGGCCCATTTGATATTAACGGGTAGGGGTAGATTCAGGTTTGCTTCCTTCATTTTAAGGGGCTTTCAGATTTCAAATTCAACCTTTGGAAAGAACGGTAACATTTTCTTATTATTCACAAAAACATATTACTTGCATGATATGGCCTCTTAAAATAGAGGAGTTGAAATGAATATGAATTATTAGGTGTTACAGGTATATCTTTATGTCAAAGATTATGGCTTGCTCAATGCCCACGAAAGATTCTGTATTGATGAGTATGGCCATATTTTGGTCGAGATTTTCTATTGATGCGGAGATGAGTGAGTGATCTCCCCAGGCTTTTGGAAATATTCCGGCCACATCACGACAACAAGATACTGGCCGATACTGTAGCCTCTCTTTGAACATGAATAAGTGTGTGAGTGAGTGAATGTTACAGTAATATTCCAGTTATATCACAGCAGCCCGTGACTAATCTGGAGCCTGGAACAGGGAAACCAATGGTTGACTGCACGAGCAACGACACGTGTACGCGGGCGGAGCGCCGTGAAGTGGGGAGCTTATTCTGGCCAGCAATCTATAAATGGGTTTTCTCACACAGGATCCCAGTTTTATTTCTACCCTCTTCCACTCGAATCTCCACTAAGTTGGTCGCCAAACTTGAGACCAGTTTTATCATCATGTATAAAGTCACTATTTACTTTCAGTTATCATATGCATATTCATGTACCACGTCATCAATACGTCAATAAGTGCATCAATATTGGATTGTACATTTTTCGTGTGTAAAACGCTGCGTGAAGTTGATAAAATTGATGATGGCGCTGATTCAATTCTAATGAGTCGAGAGAGATCATCCGCGTCAGAGGGAAGTATGTTTGGAAATCTGCTGCTTAGTCAAATTAAGTATAGGGTGCTTATGCTTGGCAAACCCCGTAGGAAGAGAGGAGGTGAAAATAGAGAGTTCAAGTGAAATACCGATTTCCAATAAATATTGCATTTCATCACTATATTAATAAATAATCAACTAATATTACTATAAATATGTATGTGCTATTAGCTAAACAATACATGGTGACTTCCGAGGGAGGTTGTGCAAGTTCTTCACGTGCTACATAACTGATCCTGGTCCGGCTCGCGATGAGGATGCTGGTGGTGATGAAACCCGATATACCATTTACAATCCCTGCCCCAACTCCACATGTTAAGTCTACGTTCAAGGTCAGATGGGAATGTCATCTAAACTTTCTGGAGGTCACTTCAGAGGTACAAGCCCTATACAATTATATACTGTAGTAATAATCAGAGTTTTTAGAAAGCTGTCGGTGTCTGCAAACATGCTACCTTTTCAATTGAATCACAGTTTACATTATTAATACTTTCCCATCTCTCCACAGGTAGAAGATCTGCTGCCCCCCACTCGCTACTAGTGTATCACTGAGCAGCCCTCGACTCCATCTGTGTATCGCGCCTGTTATAAAGTTATCAGTGAAACGTAATAAAATCCTTCTGTTAACGTTAAACTGTTGTGTGGTTCATTGTAGTTCTGTTTAAATGTTTTTGTGTAATTGTTACGTGAGTGAGTGAACTGGGTCTAACGCTGATATCGGCTGTATGTCCGTTTGTCAGCTTAGTGTGGATGCACACATTAGGCGTGTACAGTTTTAGTGAAACACCGTGAAAGGCTATGGTGTGCCAACCAAGAAACGTGTTGTATTCTCAGAGTATTTTGTATTAGAATATCACTGGAAAGGAGGTATCTAACATTCGTCCCTAGCCCTTTATCATGATGAAATCCTGGAACATTATTTTTTTCCATCATTTTCAAGCCATAATCCAATGACACAACGCTAAATCAAATTACGCTCATGAGCGAGTATGTTTATTTTACTAGAATCGAGAACCCGCGAAGACCCAGGTTAAAATAGGTCTTCAGCAACCCATGCTTGCCACAAAAGGCGATTGTGTTTGTAAGTGGCGACTAATGGGATCGGGTGGTCAGGCTCGCTGACTTGTTTGATGCATGTCATCGTATCCCACTTGCGTAGATCGATGATCATGATATCAATCACTGGATTGTCTGGTCCAGACTCGATTATTTACAGACCGTCTTCATATAGCTGGACTATTGCTGAGTGCGGCGTTAAACAACAAACAACAAAAACTAGAATGGAGATACGAGAAAATAGTGATGCGGAGCATCTTAATCTAGCAGCAAATAGACATCACTATAATAATTAAGTTAAAACGTTTGGGACACAGAATAACGAATTAACACAGTCCCTTCATTTTGGACTACACTCTTCAGTAGGTCAATAAGACTCGTCATCCAAATAAGAGGCCGTGTAAATTGGTGGAAAGTAAACGTGAAGTGGACTGGTTAAAATTACCCAAACAGTAACAGGCTCCCTACTCCCACAAGAGAGGAGTTAGTGATATTTAACATCCCGAATCACACAAGCGTAATAACCTCTCTATCATATAATGTCACTCTGGAAAACTATCGTTGAAAAAGGTATTATCATCTCTTTTAACCATTGCAAAATTTTCCTGGAATGTGCGCAGTAATATATAACGTCACAAGGTCGGTGATTAGTCGGTCGATCAGTCCTCCCTTCAGTCAATATAGTTCCAACTGAAACTTACTCGTTTAGACAGTGGCGTAACTACCATTAGGCAGAAAAACTTTGCCTACACATAATTCATCAATGTCAGTGATCACCCTACTCGAGTCCCTATGTGAGGTCACGTTTGTTTAGAGTCGTCCTGGTCTGTGATGACCTTTCGGAATAGAGTCAAGTGTCCCACTGCAGGGACAAAAGGAAACAAGGTAAAATATTTCGGTCACACCCCACGGTTTTAATTCTGGAAAAGACTCTAATCTGCAGTCTACAAGCACTGAGTCGATGTAGAGACTGACCACGTGAGCGTCTTGGCTAACATTGCTTTGCAGTCATTTGTTTCCAGAGTTGCCTACCCTTGTAAAATGTCTCAGCCGGCTTAGGTATGACTTTGTTAGACACTGAGTTTCGGTATCTGGCCCACCTTTAGAAAACATTTTATAGAAGGCGCCAGTGCTAAAACCTCGCTACACGGAAACTGACTCAACGTTTCACGCACAGCGATATGCTGTATTGGCCCGTCCCCGACCCTCTAGACAGGCATACCCGCTACACGGAAATGGGTCAACGTTTCCTGCATACCGAGATGCTGTAGGCCTGTTCCCGACCCTCTCGACAGGCAGGACCGCTACACGGACATGGGTCAACGTTTCACCGCAGGGAAATGCTGTATGGGGAAACAGGTCGGATGGAGCTAGACTGGTACCCTGTGCTTCCCCCTCATGCGGCAGCAGGCGAGGAGAGCAAGCGCTCTATGGCAGGGAAACCAGTCTTGGACAGAGCGTCACTCCCACTGATGATTGTGCCCGAATAGCACAAACCTGTATTGTGGAATAATTTACAGTGAGGAATGTTTAAAAACATGTTTTCATAATTATTTATGTAGTCCATATTTACACATATGATTATACATATGTGATACAAAACCCTGTTCTCACAATGGTAATGTATAAAATAATTGGATTAACATTTCTTAGAGAAATACCGAAAGGTTTGTCAGTTTGGTACAGGATGTAAACCCTCCCCTCAGGTGGGAAGCCAGGGAAGCGCAACAACGGAAGTAATTAACATACTGTGAATCAAATGCACAGGTTCAGCTGTTGTCTGGTGACTGCACAAACTTTTACGAAACTGCCACCTCTTACAAACAGTTTATGAGTTATGTTCCGGAAAAGAACCCTGGCTTGAACAAAGTCCAATTTCTTTGCATTGCCTACAGAATATAATAACAGAAAAAGGCATCAGTTCGGCACGTGCTTGTTTCGTTTACCTTATCAATGCAGCATATGGGGCGCACTCGAAATTACTTGGGAAGGTACCCACTACTGTCATTTTAACCAGTTCACCGTCTCCTTCTCTTATATATAAGTGTTAACTTACTGAAGAGCGTGTTTCAAACATTTCTTACATCATACTTATACTGAAGCCTACTTGTAGCTACAATTTGATGCTCTGCGTCGTCACTTTTGTTTTTCTGATATGCATACATTCTGCATACAACTCACTCGTTTTCATCCAGCCGACAACTGGAAACATGACTGGGATCCTGACTTGCGTAGAGCAGGAAGAAAACCAGTCAAACTGTAGCGTCACGTGATAGAATGGCAGTCTCGCGAGATTTATGACGTCGCTATGACGACAATTTCACACTGATACCGCCATTGCTGTGTTATCATTATTGCTATCACATTGCCATTTTTCTGGTGTTATTTGCCTGGTATTTTGATCTTCTCCGTCTGTGAAAATCATGAGCTCCTACACCCAAGGTATTTCTTTATTACTGAATGTGTTAGTTTGGCTATATTTCTTTCTTTTATGACTTGTGTAGTAATGTGTACTAGATCTATGTTCAGACTGAAGTAGGGAAAAGAAGAAACTTCCAGAACATACTGGCAACAAAGATGATCATTTTGTGTTTAGAACTTTTTCACGAAAATTCAGATCGACTTTTTAACCTGTTCCTCAATCTGTTAATAAACAACGCACTCGTGTTTTATTACATTTATCTTTCCTTTTAAATATTCGGCACTGATTGTCTCGGAGCGGTTGTCATTTGTCCAAAATGGAGGTTATTTGTCTCATGGTCTTATAACAGTTACTTTAGCCTGCTAGGACCTTTTTTAATACTACTGACTGTAAACCGTAGTTTGTGTATATTAGTAGCCAGCAGCAAAGAGGCCAGCTATTAGTAGTCCGCCGATATATTTTACATTTGAATGTACACACGACAATCAAATTCCAGTTGTTATTCAATTCACGTGTTAGCCAATATCCACGTAGTTTAGATAAAATCATGATGGTTTTAGATGCTTCCAGTAACAAATATTATTATATTCAAATGTTTTGAACCAATATAAACTGACTTGGGGTTCCATCCACTCCCACACCAATTCCGTTTCCATTCTATTTTGAGTTACCTTCAGTGTTATCAACAGAGGTGTGAAACATTTGTATTCTTAGTTCTAATAATAATTGGTAATATCTTAGAAGTAAGATGTACATTATATGCATGGCTTTCTATAATAATAAATTCTATTAGTAAGGAAGTAACAACAATGTATAAATAGATCAGGAGCTTTTCCAATAATTGGTACGGAAGTAGGCATTATACGAATAGTGATCATCGGCATGATACTTTTACGAGTGCTTCGCTGCCTAGGTTTAACGTGCTGAACAGACTCTGGCTGTGACCCAGGTAGAATGAATATCTAGAACAAAATCACTAATTTTCATATGTTTCTCCAAGTCTTATTCTGAAAAAGTACACATTATTGCCACTTGAAATGTATACTCTTTAAATTTCAAAGAATTGTATCCTACACAAACAACATTTAGGTTATTTATTACTATTAAATGCTGGAACTTTCTGCTGGTCTGTTGTATACTGTAACATGGGGTACATGTATTTCTGTTCACTTGGTCTATTTATCTTAACAAATCGTTTTGAAGAAAGATAATAACATTTGTATCACTGTTTTATGAACACAAGCTAGTACTTTATGTCAAGCCTGTCTTAATATCCCTAAGCAGTTTACCTAATAATACAATGATTGTATTATTATTTATTTACCAACGGTTTGTGTAACGTTATGTGATTCTGCCCCATCTTGACAGTGTAACTTGTATCTACCACAATCTGTACAATCTGCTTTTGAAAACATTACATTAAGATGTATTGATGATGAGGAATGCTACTTCTGTGGGATTTTAAGACTTCATCCAATGATGTGATAATCGCCCTTCACTTTTCATTTACATTTGTATCACTGTTTTATGAACACATGCTAGTACTTCATGTCAAGTCTACACCAATACACTATATATTTCTTCTCTTAGCCCAACATTTCGGATGCACTTCCCTTGTAACTCTTTATATCCCTAAGCAGTTTACTTAATAATACAATGATTGTATATTATATATTTACCAACGGTTTGTGCCACTTCAAGTTATTCTGCCTCATTTTGACAGTGTAACTTGTATCAACCACAATCTGTTCATCCTGCTTTTGAAAACATTACATTAAGATGTATAGATGATGAGCAATGCTACTTCTGTGGGATTTTAAGACTTCATCCAATGATGTGATAATCGCCCTTCACTTTTCAGTGTGTAATATATTAATTGACCCCTATGACAATGAGTCAACAGAACAACTGTAAACGTTTTTGAAACTGGTTTATATACTGTTCATTTGATCCTGTCTTGTTTATCCTTATTTAAGACTCTGATTCCTTCTTACTCGACAGCACTTGACCTCGTGATCAGGTTCCCCTTGAACTTTGACATCTGGGCCCCTCCTCGCCAAGTGGGTGTCTTAGGAATCAATAATTTATTAGAGTTATTGTAAAACTGAAATAATGTGTCTTGTATTTCATGAGTGTATGGACTTAACCAAATAATCTATAACTAATACACATACTTTTAACTTACAAACTAATATATATCAGCGATAGAACTAACGATTTTAGTCTAGTCCTTATAGTGATAACATCCTTAACAAGGGCAAATTTCCACTAGTCCTTATGGTACCTTAACTGTTGGGCAGTTTGGCAAGGTGTAATAGAACAAGTGCCAATTTCGAACACTGTATATGTGCAGTAATAATCACATTCTTAATCAGTACAGTTCTTCTAAACTCATGAGTATCTCTTAATCATTTCATTTCCAACATCCACCCTCCTCTTTCTCTACTTCCCTGTTCTGTCACTCTCTACATGTCCTTCTCTCCCTCCCTGTTAGCATCGTCCTGGGAGATACATGACAATCCTTGACCCCTTGTCTGAGCTGCCCGTCTCTCCCACCTCTCTCCCTGCCCCTCTCCCTACCCCCGTCCTCCGTGATGCCCCTCACTTCATCGATATCGACCTCGATGATGACGACACCCCGACCCAGTCCCCAGTTCGAGTCTTCCTGTCACGTGTGTCTGGATTCTTGAGGAGTGTGTTCCGTGTCAAGATGGACGCTTAGAGTGACATCTTGGAATTGTATCATATCATAATTAATTATCTTGAGTGATAAATACGACATATATGTTGTTTTGAGCATATTTTGGACTTTTCGGACGTTTTTATACTTTTCGGACCCTCCGGACATTTTGTGCTTTTGGATTTTGTACTTAATTTGTATCATACGTTAAAATGCGTATATTTTTATTAACTCATTTTGGCTCTTTCAGACAAGGTTTCAACATTTGTTTAACTTGAATAATTCGATTACCAATCCCTATATAACTAAAGATTTCCAGATTTTCTAGCTCCTTCGTGTTGTCTTTTGTTTTGAATTGTAACTCCCGATTTTAGTACCTAAGCGGACTCATAACAGACAGCAGATAATTGGTCCCTTGCACAACCAAAATGCAGTGCAAGGGTAGGAGTTGGGGGTGGCCTATTTGATATTGTGTGTGTGTGTGCGTGTGCGTGTGCGTGTGCGTGTGCGTGTGTGTGTGTGTGTGTGGTCAGGTTTTTTTACCCTTCATTTTTAGGGGCTTTTACATTTCAAATTCAACTTTGGGTAGAATGTTCAAACTTTCTTATTATCTACTAAAAGATATGACTTGCTTGATATGGCCTCTTAAAATGGAGGAATTGAATAAACATTAATAAGAGTTACAGGTATATCTTTAGGTCAACGATTATGGCTTGGTCAATGCCCACGAAAGATTCTGTATTGATGAGGATGGGCATATTGAGGTTGACATTTTCTATTGATGCTGAGATGAGTGAGTGATCTCCCCAGGCTTTTAGAAATATTCCGGCCACATCACGACAATGGACACCAAGATACAGGCCGATACTGTAGCCTCTCTTTGAACATGAATAAGTGTGTGAGTGAGTGAATGTTCTTCAGTAATATTCAAGTTATATCACAGCAGCCTGTAACTAATCTGGAGCCTGGAACAGGGAAACCATTGGTTGACTGCACGAGCAACGACACACGCGGACGTAGCGCCGTGAAGTGGGGAGATTATTCCGGCCAGCAATCTATAAATGGGTTTTCTCACTCAGGATCCCAGTTTTATAACTCCCCTCTTCCACTCGAATCGCCACTAAGTTGGTCGCTAAACTTGAGACCAGTTTTATCATCATATATTAAGTCACTATTTACTTTCAGTTATCATATGCATATTTATGTACCACGTCATTAATACGTCAATAAGTGCATCAATATTGGATTGTACATTTTTCTTGTGTGAAACGCTGCGTTACGTTGATAACATTGATGATGACGCTGATTCAATTCTAATAAGTCGAGTCAGAAGGAAGTATGCTGCTTAGTCAAATTAAATATAGGGTGTTTATGCTGGGGTAAAGCCCGTAGGAAGACAGGCTGGGAAAAGAGAGAGATAAAGCGAAGTACCGATTTCCAAAAATATAGTATTTCATCACTAAATAAATAAACAAACAAATAGAATTACTATAAACATGGGTGTGCTATCAGCTAAGCAATAAATGGTGATTACTGAGAGAGGTGATGCAAGTTCTTCATGTGCTATACAACTGATCCTGGTTCTGCTCGCGATGAGGATGAGGATGGTGATGAGGATTATGATGGTGATGGTGATGAGGATGCTGGTGGTGATGAAACCCGATGCATTCCATTTACAATCCCTGCCCCAACTCCACATGTTAAGTCTACGTTCAAGGTCAGTTCGGAATGCCATCTTAACTTTCTGGAGGTCACTTCAGAGGTACAAGCCGTATACAATTTTATACTGTAGTAATAATCAGACTTTTGAGAAAGCTGTCGGTGTCTGTAAACATGCTATCTGTCCAGTTGTATCACAGTCAACGTTATTAATACTTTCCCATCTCTCCACAGGTAGAAGATCTGCAGCCCCTCACTCGCTACTGGTGTATCACTGAGCAGCCTTCGTCTACCCCTGTGTATCGCGCCTGATGTAAAAAACGTATCAGTGAAATGTTGTAATAAACTCCTGGTGAACGTAAAACTGTTGTGTGGTTATTTGTTGTTCTGTTTAAATGTTTTTGCGTAATTATCACGTGAGTGAGTGAACTGGATCTAACGCTGCCTTGGTCTGTATGTCCGTTTGTCAGCTTAATGTGGATGCAGACATGAGGCGTGTACAGTTTTAGTGAAACGTGTGAAAGGCTATGGTGTGCCAACCAAGAAACGTGTTGTAGTCTCAGAGTATTTTGTATCAGAATACCACTGGAAAGGAGGTATCTTACATTCGTCCCTAACCCTTTATCATGATGAAATCCTGGAACATTATTTTTTCCAGCATTTTCAAGCCATAATCCAATGACACAACGCTAAATCAAATTACGCTCATGGGCGAGTATGTTTATTTTACTAGAATGGAGAACCCGCGAAGACCCAGGTTAGAATAGGTCTTCAGCAACCCATGCTTGCCGTAAAAGGCGATTGGTTTTGTAAGTGGCGACTTATGGGATCGGGTGGTCAGGCTCGCTGACTTGGTTGATGCATGTCATCGTATCCCACTTGCGTAGATCGATGATCATGATGTCAATCACTGGATTGTCTGGTCCAGACGCGTATATTTACAGACCGTCATCATATACCTGGACTATTGCTGAGTGCGGCGTTAAACAACAAACAACAACTAGAATGGAGATACGAGAAAATAGTGATGCGGAGCATCATAATCTAGCAGCAAATAGACATCACTATAATAATTAAGTTAAAACGTTTGGGACACAGAATAACGAATTGAAACAGTCCCTTCATTTTGGACTACACTCTTCAGTAGGTCAATAAGACTCGTCATCCAAATAAGAGGCCGTGTAAATTGGTGGAAAGTAACGATGAAGTGGACTGGTTAAAATTACCCAAACAGTAACAGGCTCCCTGGTCCCACAAGAGAGGAGTTAGTGATATTTAACATCCCGAATCACACAAGCGTAATAACCTCTCTATCATATAATGTCATTCTGGAAAACTATCGTTGAAAAAGGTATTATCATCTCTTATAACCATTGCAAAATTCTCCTGGAATGTGCGCAGTAATATATAACGTCACAAGGTCGGTGATTAGTCAGTCGATCAGTCCTCCCTTCAGTCATTATAGTTCCAACTGAAACTTACTCGTTTAGACAGTGGCGTAACTACCATTAGGCAGAAAAACTTTGCCTACACATAATTCATCAATGTCAGTGATCACCCTACTCAAGTCTGTCCTGGTCTGTGATGACCTTACGAAATGCAGTCGAGTGTCCCACTGCAGGGATGAAAGGAAACAAGGTAAAATATTTCGGTCACACCCCACGGTTTTAATTCTGGAAAAGACTCTAAGCTGCAGTCTACAAGCACAGAGTCGATGTAGAAACTGACCACGCTAGCGTCTTGGCTAACATTGCTTTGCAGTCATTTGTTTCCAGAGTTGCTTATACTTGTAAAATGCCTCCGCCGGCTTTGGTATGACCTTGCTAGACACTGAGTTTCGGTATCTGGCCCACCTTTAGAAAACATTTTATAGAGGGCGCCAGTTTATGAAAGCATTTTTATTTTCATAATTAATATTTTAAAGGTTACAGCTACATGGTTGTAATATTATTTAATAATGAACGAGATCAGTGGAGACATGGAGCTGTTGTTACAAATAAAAACCCACAACGAGAGTATTTTTATAAACCATGAACCATACTTCTCTATGAGTTACCTCTCTAATGGTCATGTGTTTACTCCTGTAGCCTGACACGTCCATTTTTCACTATGTCCAGAAATGCTAAAACCTCGCTACACGGAAACTACCTCAACGTTTCACGCACAGCGATATACTGTATAGGCCCGTCCCCAACCCTCTCGACAGGCAGACCTGCTACACGGAAATGGGTTAACGTTTCACCGCAGGGAAATGCTGTATGGGGAAATAGGTCGGATGGAGCTAGACTGGTACCCTGCGCTTCGCTTCCATGCGGCAGCAGGCGAGGAGCGCAAGCACTCTTTGGCAGGCAAACCAGTTTTGGACACAGCGTCACTCCCTCTGATGATTGTGCCCGTAATATTTTCAAAATTATTTATGTACTTCATATTAACGCATATAATTATATAACACAAAGATTAAGTTTCTTTTAAAAGTCTGTTAACATCTTTCCAACCATTACTCATCCCATGTAACTTTCTCAAACCAAAAGAAATAAATAAAACACGGCGCCTGGCGCCGTGCAATAAAGCTTGATATGATATGCTTAACATTTGTAAATATGCAAATCCTCCTTAATCAATACAGAAGGTTGTGAATACCCTTGACACATAAACCCTGTTCTCACAATGGTAATGTATAAAATTATTGGATTAACATTTCTTAGAGAAATACCGAAAGGTTTGTCAGTTTGGTACAGGATGTAAACCCTACCCTCAGGAGGGAAGCCAGGGAAGCGCAACAACGGAAGTAATTAACATACTGTAAATAAAATGCACGGTTCAGCTGTTGTCTGGTGACTGCACAAACTTTTACAAAACTGCCACCTCTTATGAACAGTTTATGAGTTATGTCCGGAAAAGAATCCTGGCTTGAAGAAAGTCCAATTTCCTTGCATTGCCTACAGAATATTATAACAGAAAAAGGCATCAGTTCAGCACGTGCTTGTTTCGTTTACCTTATCAATGCAGCATATGGGTCTCACTCGAAATTACTTTGGAAGGTACCCACTACTGTCATTTTAACCAGTTCACCGTCTCTTTCTCTTATATGTAAGTGTTAACTTACTGAAGAGCGTGTTTCAAACATTTCTTACATCATACTTATACTGAAGCCTACTTGTAGTTAACATTGTGATGCTCTGCGGCGTCACTTTTGTTTTGTCTGATATGCATACATTCTGCATACAACTCACTCGTTTTCATCCAGCCGACAACTGGAAACATGACTGGGATCCTGACTTGCGTAGCGCAGGAAGAAAACCAGTCAAACTGTAGCGTCACGTGATAGAATGACAGTCTCGCGAGATTTATGACGTCGCTATGACGACAATTTCACACTGATACCGCCATTGCTGTGCTATCATTATTGCTATCACCTTGCCATTTTTCTGGTGTTGTTTGCCTGGTATTTTGATCTTCTCCGTCTGTGAAAATCATGAGCTCCTACACCCAAGGTATTTCTTTATTACTGAATGTGTTAGTTTGGCTATATTTCTTTCTTTTATGACTTGTGTAGTAATGTGTACTAGATCTATGTTCAGACTGAAGTAGGGAAAAGAAGAAACTTCCAGAACATACTGGCAACAAAGATGATCATTTTGTGTTTAGATATTTTTCACGAAAATTCAGATCGATTTTTTAACCTGTTCCTCAATCTGTTAATAAACAACACACTCGTGTGTTATTAGATTTATCTTTCCTTTTAAATATTCGGCACTGATTGTCTCGGAGCGGTTGTCATTTGTCCAAAATGGAGGTTATTTGTCTCATGGTCTTATAACAGTTACTTTAGCCTGCTAGGACCTTTTTTAATACTACTGACTGTAAACCGTAGTTTGTGTATATTAGTAGCCAGCAGCAAAGAGGCCAGCTATTAGTAGTCCGCCGATATATTTTACATGTGAATGTCGTTTCCGCAATGGTTTATTTTAGAATTGTTCAATACGTACACACGACAATCAAATTCCAGTTGTTATTCAATTCACGTGTTAGCCAATATCCACGTAGTTTAGATAAAATCATGATGGTTTTAGAGTCTTCCAGTAACAAATAGTATAAGGCCTATATTGAAATGTTTTGAACCAATATAAACTGGCTTGGGGTTCCATCCACTCCCACACCAATTCCGTTTCCATTCTACTTTGAGTTACCTTCAGTCTTATCAACAGAGGTCTAAAACTTTAGTATTCTAAATTCAAATAATAATTGGTAATATCTTAGGAGTAAGATGTACATTATATGCATGGCTTTCTATAATAATAACTTCTATTAGTAAGGAAGTAACCACAATGTATAAATAGATCAGGAACATTTCCAACAATTGGTACGGAAGTAGGCATTATACGAATAGTGATCATCGGCATGATACTTTTACGAGTGCTTCGCTGCCTAGGTTTAACGTGCTGTACAGACTATGGCTGTGACCCAGGTAGAATGAATATCCAGATCAAAATCACTAATTTTCATATGTTTCTCCAAGTCCTATTCTGAAAAAGTACACATTATGGCCACTTGAAATGTATACTTTTTAAATTTCAAAGAATTGTATCCTACACAAACAACATTTAGGTTATTTATTACTGTTAAATGCTGGAACTTTCTGCTGGTCTGTTGTATGCTGTAACATGGGGTACATGTATTTATGTTCACTTGGTCTATTTATCTTAACAAATCGTGTTGAAGAAAGATAATAACATTTGTATCACTGTTTTATGAACACAAGCTAGTACTTTATGTCAAGCCTGTCTTAATATCCCTAAGCAGTTTACCTAATAATACAATGATTGTATTATTATTTATTTACCAACGGTTTGTGTAACGTTATGTGATTCTGCCCCATCTTGACAGTGTAACTTGTATCTACCACAATCTGTACAATCTGCTTTTGAAAACATTACATTAAGATGTATTGATGATGAGGAATGCTACTTCTGTGGGATTTTAAGACTTCATCCAATGATGTGATAATCGCCCTTCACTTTTCATTTACATTTGTATCACTGTTTTATGAACACATGCTAGTACTTCATGTCAAGTCTACACCAATACACTATATATTTCTTCTCTTAGCCCAACATTTCGGATGCACTTCCCTTGTAACTCTTTATATCCCTAAGCAGTTTACTTAATAATACAATGATTGTATATTATATATTTACCAACGGTTTGTGCCACTTCAAGTTATTCTGCCTCATTTTGACAGTGTAACTTGTATCAACCACAATCTGTTCATCCTGCTTTTGAAAACATTGCATTAAGATGTATAGATGATGAGCAATGCTACTTCTGTGGGATTTTAAGACTTCATCTAATGATGTGATAATC